TTTTTTTCCTGATATTGTAAGTCTAATTATGAGTTGTGCAGTTTATATTGGGGAGGTGGGATGAGTATTTGGTACCTTCTCCTTATTTACTAGTTGTTAGGATAATGAATCATTCATTAGCATCCTCCACCGGCGCCAATTATTTTCCAGTTTAATTAAGAACTCATGGATTTAAACATATGTGTTGAGCCACAATCGCTGCAGCTATATGGATGATCAAATTGTCTGCTCCTGGCCATCAGAAGCTCGATCATGTCTGCCCGTCGCCACGGGTGGGTGGGACAGACATGCCCTGCTTGTCCACCTCCAGCCTCCAAGTGCTGCTTCTCCAAGGACTGAGTCCTGTCTGACATTGCTGCCTGGCCCAGGATGGGCAGCCATGCCCATGCGCGTGGATCTGTAGTTACCTTCATGTGTTAGGACTCCAGTAGAAAGCCAACACAAGGCAGCATCCACCGATTGTCACCGAACGGACCGTAGGGATGCTGCTTTCAGCATCTGAGTAGTGAGTCCCTTCACAATCCATGCAACAGAGCCTACAGTCAGTTGGATGTGCTGCCAACAGAGTAAAATGACCTCATCTAGGATATTTCTGTCACTTACTTAAGGGCACAGCATTGTAATGACCCAGACGCCATGTCCAAGTGCTGAGTTTTGATGTTTGGATACCCAAAATCTTTTGAGTTGAGGGCAATCTTTCCCACCGGTGTTCTGCCTTGGGTCATGGGAACTGAAAACTTCCCGCCAGAGTGAGTGAAGTCCCTTGGGAAGAAAGTCCAGAGGGTGGATGCAGTCTACAAGAGGAGGGAGCTCATGGCTTCTGGGCTGCTGGGCTGCTGCTTCTGAATGATGCCTGCCGGCTCGTGGAGTTAATCAGTGGAACGGAGAAAAGAAGAAAGGCACTGGCCGCGCAGGCCAGGCAGGCAACTGGCCGCGCAGGCCAGGCCAGCTCCTCAGATGGCTGTTTTGAAAGTGTACTCTTGGTTCTCCAAGCATCCTTCTGACCACCGTCTACCCTCCCACATCCCTCGGGGACTCTGTGGCTTTGCTCCCCCGAGAACAGACCCCTGAGCCACCCAGCCCATCTTGCAGTGGCTTCACACACTGTCCAGCCTCCCTCCACAAAGCTCACATCCTACATCTGTGGATGCCCATCCTGTCCGGGGGGGGGGGGTGGGGGGTGGGGGGGGGGCAGAGTTCTGAGAGGCTTCTCTCACAATGACCCCACCCCCCACCCCAGCTCATACTCCTTGAGGCTCCTCCCCACGGCTGGGGGGACGGGTCACGCTGTGTTCCACCCTGAGGATTTGTGGGCACTTGATGTCTGCTGCAGGTCACAACACCGCACACACTGTGGGGATGGGTGAGATCCCACTGGGACATGATTACCCTCGGCTGTGGAGAGAGCGGAGCTGCCCAACTCTGACCATGCACCGTGGGGCTCTCCTCCGGCTTCTTCTGGGTGACCAAGGCGCCTGTACTTGGTTCAGCCATGTCCTCTGCTACAAGACACAGTCTTAAGTGGGAAGGGAACCGGGTGACTATCACCGGATTTCCACTGCTAACAGCTGGGTGGCTGATTCCACGGTGCTACATCTGTGAGGTGCTCTGTGCTCCTCACAGGGGATAGAGTCACTGTCATACTGCTGGGGGATGGGCAGAGATGTGAAATTGCTGTTGCTGCTCTGGGTAGTGGTAACAGGGCATTTATTATATAGGAAGTGGGGAGCACCGGGCTTCTGTGGGGCTGGGGGAGAGGCCACACCTCACTTCACTGTGGCTGGGCCCTGGGCAACAGACAACCACTGGAGTGTAACACGAATTGCTAAACAGTCTTATTAATTAAAAAAAAAAAAAAACCGGAGCCAGATATTGGGGTGAAAACTGAGAGATCAGAGGGATAGAACAAGCCAAGCATGAGTTCTTACCGCTAGGAAACCCTCAGCCCAAGAGAGAGCTACTTCCTGTATACTCAGGCCTACATACCTTTCTGTGCCCTGCTATCTTACTTCCTCTCTCCGCCCAGTTACATCATTTCCTCTTTCTGCCCAGCTCTATCACCTTCTGTCTGTCTGTGCAGACCTCCAGAACTCTATGGTTAACTAGTGCCGAGATTAAAGGTGTGTGCCACCACACCTGGCTCTGTTCTCAGTGTGGCCTTGAACTCACAGAGATCCAGATGGATCTCTGCCTTCTGCCTCCCGACGGATAGGATTAAAGGCGTGTGCTGCCTGACTTCTATGTTTAATATAATTCTATGTTTAATAACTGGCTTTTTCCTCTGATCTCCAGGCAAGCTTTATTTGTTAGAGCACAAATAAAATATCACCACACTGGAGGTGTGAAAATGGAGTCAGTAAAACCAGGAGTTCTTCAGGGCCCAGAGGTGATCCGCACAGCTGAGTCGGGAAAACAGCCTAAGAAACACAGAGAGCTGAGCAGAAGGCAGGGTTTGTATACAGTTTCTTGGGGGGGGGGGGTGGCAGAGGGGACCCTACCCCTCTCAAGACCCTACTCCTTTGGACATCGAGGGGGACACCCTGAGGCTTCTGCTCACTGTACCCCAATGGTGGAGAATGGACACCAGATGCCAGTTAAAGTGATTCAGCTCTTCAGACACAGCGCCAAAGAAAGCTGGGCAGGGAAAGCAGAGCCCATCATCTGACCTATTGGATGGCCTTTCCTGAAGGACAAAGGGGGTGGAGGCAGACCTAATCAGACATCACACCTTGCCCTGCCCTACCCAACCCCTCCCCTCCCCCACCCTGCCTAGGCAGGAAGCTGTGGAGTGTCCCTGCGGCCCCCTCCCAAGCCAGCTGCATCCTCCCACTTCCAGAGTCACCGGCCTTCAAGGAGTGGGTGTGGACACCTTCTCTGGACCTGGAATCCCTCCAGTTCAGCCACAAACTCTGCTCCAAGGAGGTCCCTGGGCACGTGTCCTGCTGCTGTCCTGTGTGTCCAGGCAGAGTGGCTCCTTCAGCACTGTCTCCCTTGAAGATCTGGATATCCAGCAAGATTACGAGAACCAGGGGATATGACGAGACAGTCGGGCCTGTTCATATTTCACAGACAGCACACAAGGTGCAGGCTGTGGAACAAGTCTTTGCCGGAGGGGAAGTTCTAGAAAGGTCGCCACAGTCTGAGACGTCTCAGCTCACCTCTTCCTGGGGTCTGGCAGTTTGGGTGACAGACCCCCTCTTCTAAAGGAGAGGTTTGCTGCCGTCCAGACCCAGGTGGCCTCCCAGCAGCACTCTTCAGGCTCATGGAGTCTCCCCACCCCTCCGGGGACTGAGGCCACAGCACAGGCTCCTACATCAGGAGGTTGCAATCCCTCTGACACCTGTACTGGAGGCAGCCGACATTCCTCATGAGTGTAAGTAAATAAACAACCACTGAGCTAAAAAGACTTGAAGATGTCAGATGGTCCTCATAGGAGAGGTCAAAGAGCCAAGGTCAAAGGTTATGCGAAGTTAGTTTCTAAAGAGCAAAGGGATGTCAGGACTGGGTCTGCCACCCATTCCTGCTCGCTGAAGAGAGCAGTCGCTCCAGAATGAGGCTCAGCTGACACAGTGTGGAGCAGAGACATGCTCAGAGCCAGCTGTGACTCTGAGGCAAGCCCCAGAGTCCCTGCTGACCATGGGAATTTGGGGAGCCTTTTTGTTTTCCCGTCTCTAGAGTAGTCCTGGGGGGTACATGCTTTCATGGAAGCCGTTGTTGAGATAGATGCTAGAGAAAAATCACAGAAGCAGCCCCAGTATGTGCTCAGTGGACAGCGGGAGATGTAGGTGAAGGAACATCTCACACATACACCAGCCACATTGTAACTATGAAGACAAGTGGCCCAATTGGGACAAGAAGAAGGTCACCTTTCCCATGGGACAAGCAGCTTCTTAAGGAGTACTGCAGGGGCTGAAGAGACGGCCCAGTGGTTAAGAGCACTGGCTGCTCTTGCAGGGGACATGAGTTCTGTTTCAGCACCCACCATCGGACAGCTCACAACCATCTGTGACTCCAGCCCCAGGGGATCCAATGCCTGCCTCTCTGGTCTCCACAGGTGCCTGCACTCACGTGCACATACCCACATACAGACCCCTGTCCACAGATAACTAAAAACAATAAAAAACAAAAAACACCTACAAAAAGGATCAAGAGAGTTTTGTATGTCACCATTTGGAGCCAAGGCTTCCCCCGCAGACTGTTCCTCTCATGTTCAGGGTGCAGGCATGAACTAGTGCCTCGAGAGTCACCATCTCAGAATGTACCGTGTGCTTCCTGGATGCATGGAAAGCCTGCTGCTGACGGGGTGGGAAAACCATGGCAACATCATGTTATGAGGTTCTAAATCGATTGTGACAAGGAATGAGCCTCGCAAGTTTTCCCCCAAGTGAACGGGGCCACGGTGGTCAGAAGCAAGGGTACATTCGAGAGCTCGACCCAGAGGTTGGCAAGCGTTCTTTGAAACCTTCTTCCCACATCACTGCCGCAGGTTCAGGGGAACTGGATCTGGATTGTGACAAAGCCACACACAATGAACTTGACAGCCAGCCAGATTTCTGTTTTCAGTCAGTTTAGGGTTACTATAATCTCATTATAATGCTTGAAAGACGACAAGTAATAGAATCTCGTGGAGCCGTTCTGCTCTTCGAGGCACCGGCTTCCCCTGATTACCTGGTGGGCCAGATCGGCTTTCAGCCGCTGCTCTTGCGAGAATAATCATCTGATCAGCAGAGGGTTTTCCTTGCACTCAACAGTTTCAATGGGTCAAGCACCAAATTAACCCTTGAGCCCCTTCCCTGAGAACATCACACTTAAAAAGCCACCTTCTTCTCTATCGCTGGGATGCGTGATGGAGGAGCTCCATCCCTCAGAGACAAGGCTTTCCAGGGCTGCTCTACACCTTCTGGGGTGCAAAGCTGGGCTCCTCATAATCTAGAATACATCAGCACCAAGCACCATTTAATGTTCTGTAAGGGCTGTGGAACATGCTGGAGAAGGCTGGGTGACTTATTGACTGAGTTTTATTGGGGGGAATGTTTCCATTAGGAAAAGTTTCCGAGACATCAGATTTTCCTTGCAACTGTTGCATTTGGTCTTGTCCAAAAGATCCAACTTCCAGCACAAAATGCTGTCGGACTTGAAGGGTGGAAGGGCAGGACCTGGAGCAGCTACAGGCTTTCTCACAACGGGGCAGGCTGTGTAACTGTGCAGCTGCGAGTCTGACAGCTGTAGACAGTTGACAGAGGTTTGCTTTTTGTCTAGGAGGGTTCTCCAGAGTGTGCCGGCACGTCTTAGTGCTTTCGCCCCTGGAAAGTGGGAAGCACAGGGTGTGAGAAGTCTAACTGTCTGCGTGATGTAGGTTAGCAGTATGCGAAACTGGTACCAGGTACCGTCGGGAACTACGGGACATGGACCGCTGGTGCTTTGTGAAGAGCCTGAGTCCCGAGGCTGCTGTCCGCACATTGGGTTCTGGGATACAGTGAACAAGTTTGGCCTTGCTGCAAGACGCTTTTGTTTTCTCCCAAGATGGCGAGGAAGCTGTGTGGGGAACATGAGTAAGACAAAGATGTTGGTGTAAGGGAGAGTGCTGGGCTACCTCCGGAGCCCTGCTCGTGCTGGGGTCTCGTCAGACAAGGTGGAGTCCGATATCCCCTGCTCTAACTCGGAGTAACTGAGGCCCAGGGCCTTTTGTCCACCTAGCCAGGACCCGTCATGGCACCAGGTGACTTGAGAACTCTCCACAGAGAGGCCTAGCCCCTACCACACCCCTTTCACTGCTAGGACTGCACTCCAAAGCTCTGCCCTGTGTCCACACCAGGTGTCCACTCCCAGGGACACAGAGGTGACAAAGGGGCTGTCACCTTGATGTCTCTAGATCTGCCCCAGAGACCCCAGCACACCACCAATGGGAGGTAGAAGTGCTTTTTAAAAAAGCAGGTTGCTACAAAGCAATCCTATATACTTACCTGGCAGGGGAGACACCATGAGCACAAAGCAATCCTGTGCTTGGGAAATGGATCACTGACTGGATGCCTGTTTCCCCCTGAAGTCTGCCCATTGAGAAGCCCAGCTTCCAAGGAATGGCCTTGATGACAAGGCCTTTGTGAGATGATGAGGCTGAGATGAGGTCACGTGAGTGTGGGGTCCTGATGGAGCCCACCGCCGTGGTAAGAAGAGACAACACAGGGTGTGCTGTTTGTCTCCTGTCCCTCTGGCACCATCTCTGCACACGGACACAATCAGAAGGTGGCCATCCATTGGCCAGAAAGAGGGTCCTTGGCGGGAACTGAATGGTCTGATCTTAGACTTTCAACCCAGGGAACTGTGAGAATAAACGCCTGTGACGTGATCCCTCAGCCCTAAGCGGACCATGACAACGGGCAGAGATGCTTCCGTATGACGTCACAGTTGGGCTCAGTCTCTGACCTGGAAGGAGGAAATCCCAGGCTACCTGAGGACAATGTGACCACTTGGTCAGCTTCCCACAGGGAAGTCAGAGGAGGTCAGACACACTGTGACAGTACATGTTTCCGTCAGTAGAATATTAATATGAGGTATGAGACGTGGGTGAGCATGTGCTAAAGTGAGGTTATTAATAAGACAATGCTCCACAGCTGTGTGGCACTTTTCAGTCGAGGTGAAATTTACAAAACCAGACCTGAGCAAACAAGTATGTGTGACAGCCACCTGCACTTTAAAGATGAAGATGAGATCAGTTGGGGTGGGGTGGGGGTTTTCACAAGGTCACCATCAAGGTCACAGAAGAGCTGGAACTATCTCTTAAGTGCCTGCTGCCCTCCTCCCCCCTCCCCCCGCCCCCTGCACGTCTGGCCATCCATCACACTCAGTGGTGCTAGACAAGAAAATGCAAAGCCCTTGGGTCTAGCACTTTGCCTCCACTCGTCATTGGCCCTCGAATTCCTTGGAACAATGTCCACATGTTTCTCTTTCTGGACAATGGTCATATGGGTGTCCTCTGAGAACGGAGAACGCAGGGGGGATGTTCAGAGTCATCTCAGCCTCTGGTGGTAGGAGCTGGTACTGGCAACCTCAGCCAGGCAGGCAGTACATTTCATCCTCTGGATTCTCCTTCCAGATGCAGCAACTGGGAAGCTTTATGGCAGATGCCAGATCTGAAAGAAGAGGCCCATCAGCTACTCACTGACACCTCAGACTTCCAGAATGCTAAGGTCTCAACTGTGTCTCTCCAACAAGATGTGAAGTCCAGACCACTGCACTTCTCTCTGCAGCCTTATTTGGAAGTGGGTTTGTGGTAGATGTGGAGGAGGGACTCTAGTCCAAGGTAGACAATAAGAAGAGACACACAAAAAGAAAATTCCGTGCAGTAACACAAGCAGAGAGAAGTATGGCAGCCAAGGGTTTCCAAGATCACCAAGGGTCACCGAGGGAAGGCAAGGGATGCCGAAGGGCACCAAGAGTTGCCAAAGGCTACCAGGGGACTCCAAGAGACACCAAAGATTGCTTAAGGACACTAAAGGTCACCAAGGGATGCCAAAGGTCTCCAGTGGACACAAGTGTCACCAAGGGACACCACCAGTCACCAATGGATAACACCAAAGTGCCGAAAGTTGACCAAGGACATCAAGAGTCACTTAGGTATGCCAATGGTCACTAAAGGACACCAAAGCTTACCAAGGTATGTATGTCACCAAGATATGCCAAGGGATCATTAAGGTAGCCCCACCCTTGAACCATCAGGAAGGCTAGCATCCTTGGGAAAGGAGGAGCAGAGACGTCTAACATGGCAGAAGGGGGAGAGCTTGGTTGCTTTCTCTGAGGTTCTGTATGTTTCCAGATAAGTGGGCTGCGTGAAGTCAAACTTAGAAGATGAAGTGCGTGTCTTCCTGAGCACCCCGTGCAGGGCTCTCTCCACCCTCACAGGGTCAATTCTATGCTAGCCACAGCCATCACAGGACCTACAAATCTCTCCAACCTCAGACCATCTCTGTTCCTTGAAGCTGGCCCTTCACTTGCTGACGGCTGGCCTGTTCTAGTGTGGCTCAGTATGCCCTGTGCGTTCCAGCTCTGCCCCGCAGTACAGAGTCTCCCTCTCTTCTCGGCTTCTGTGCCTGGCATGTGCCCCTACTGTGGCCTTTCTGTGCAGGTGTCATCAGCAGCGCTGGGTCCTCTCCAAGGAGTTTTCTTGTGTGTCACAAACTGCCTCACACACAGATGGCCTGTGAATACGTAGAAAAGCATTGCTCTAAGGGTCAACCTTCTCTGTCAGTTCGATTAGGTTTGGAATCACCTAGGACACAATTCTCTGGAGGAGGAAAAAACCCACTGAGAAGTTGGACGGTACCATCCTATAGGCTGGTATCTTAGACTGAGTAAACAGGAAAAAAGGAGGAAGCCAGATCAGTACTAAGCCGTCATCTGCTTCTTGACTGTAGACTCAATGTGACCAGCTGTCTCTGCTCCCGCCACCATGACAGCTCCAGCACACAGATCTGTCATCACAAACCAAAATCGATCCTTCCTTTCCCAAGTTACTTCTGTCAGGCATATTTCACAGTAACCAGAAGACGAACTGATATAATTGCTGGAGATGTGACTATAAAAGTAGATTTGGAGAGAATTGAAGAAGGCTTTAGCCCCTGGGAGGCCCACCAGGGTCTCTCCTGAATCCAGGGGCTCTCAGACATAGCTGGCCATCAGACTCACCTGGAGAGAGTTTAAAACCTCTGATTCAAAGGTCCCATCTCAGGCTGATTGGACCAGAACCTCTGAAGGAACTCTTTTTGGTCTCAAACAAAAGAACATTCCCAGGGCCCTCTAACTTGCCCCCAGATGGAGGCCAATGATGCACTCTGAGGACAAGTTCGGTCAAAGGAGGAAGCAGAGAGGCTAATTACTGCCTATTATCCAGTTAGCCACCCAGAACTGAGTCCCTGAGAGTCTGCTGGCTTGAGGGTTCTCCCTAGGGAGAGGGCACTTTCCCAAGGTGGGCATAGGGTGAAGGAGCATCATGATGGATTTCCTGTTCATGAGGCACCATCTGCAGAGAGGCGTCAAACTTTGGAAATTGCTGGCCCTGGGGACCTGGCACATGACTCACCTGCAGCTTCCAAGACCCTATGCTTAATTGGAAGTGTGACACGTGCACACACTGATTCCCCCAGGGTTTGTTGCAGCACACACATGTGGCAAGCAGCATGTTCTTCCCAGAAGGGAAGGTCAGGCTTGGACATCGACCTGACCCTGGAGGACTGTCCCAGGCTCTCAGCTGCTGGGGTCCTTGGTGCCACCCATGGCTCTGCTGTCACTGCCCCATCTCCTGGGCGGGGTCTGGAATGAGCTCTGGGAACACAGGGCTAGGCGTGAAAGAGACAGTACTTTCCAGAAGAGAACAGAGTCATAGTGCCCCAGCAGGTAAATTGCAGGTTACCGCTGACAGCGAAGCAGCTTTCACTTAACAAAGGGCGTGTCACAGGACTCACTGAAGTTGCTTTAAGCCGCTGTCTCCAAGTGGAGCTAATCACCTGTTTAGTGATAGTTAATGCTTCAGTAGAGAGGCTAGGGAGAGACGGAGCTGGAGTGTAAGCACCACTGTCGACAGAGAATCAATCAAAACAGGAAAAACAAATAGAAATGGCCAGCTAGTCAACTGGAAAATGGGATTCGATTTACATAAAACTCACAAACATGACTATGCATGAAGGCAAGTAATGTCTACAGAGACAAAGAGCTCCCCACTTATTTAAGAACACAGCGAGCAATGGCCCTTTCTCTCAGAAGCAGGAGAAATTGCCCTAAGGTTTAGGGACCCCTCCCTCAGGATTTCAACACGGTGGCTCTCTGACTTAACCTTGAGCACGTCAGCCAGCAAATGGGCCTCTTGAAGAATGCATTATTATTGGGTGCTTTCCATGGTAACTGAGAAGTCCAAGATGGTCTCGTTGACACACGGATGGGAGGAATATTTCACCAAGTTCTAGTTAGTTACGTGGTGAAGTCCGTCCCCCATCGTTACAATGCTTCATGTTTCAGTTTCTCATCCATCGTTACAAACCTGCAAACTGCACGGAGCTTCATGCACTGGGGCTATTTTAGTTTCTGCTGTGGAACTGCCATCCTGGTACCCTAGTATTTTTTTCCCTACTTTGTCACTGCGTCCATCTGCCCTTGGTCACTGACCCATCTTGGCAAACTGAGTTTCATAACGGTGCTGTGTGCTCGAATGCTGTTGGGAGCCATGGCCCCTAAGGTCTCTGGTAGGAGGAGCATCACTATGTTCCTGTTTTCATTTGCTCACATCTGTTGGCAGCTTTTCCCAGCACAGTTAGAAGGATATTTAAAATGTGAGCATGCGTATGTATTTTTTTAAAACTCAGTCTAACCACCTCTCAAAGTTCACTTGGGAAATCTATCTTCTTCACGTTTAGTGTAATAACTGTCTTACCCTGTGGTTATTATCCATTACATTGTAGCCTTTCCTTTCTTCTCTGGATAGTTTGAGCTCCTTGGCATTTATTTCCACTTTTTTCTCTGTTCGGTTTGCATTTCCACACTTTCCCATCTAACTAGTGACCATGCTCCGTGCCTCACACCAGCCACAGATATTTAATCACTAAATGAAGCCAGGGAGCCAGGTGCCTTCTCCCTCAGCCTTCCTCTCCTGCAAAGCAAGCACCCTGAGGCTCTGCCGCGCTCTCCTTTAACTCCCAGGCAAGCTAAAATCTGCCCGCATTCCCAGCTCAGGGGACTGATGAGATTTCCCACTGGCACACGGCATGTTCCTCTTGCTGCAAAATCCCAACTTCATTATTTTTAATTTGGAGGGAACCCAGTGTCCCACAGGTCACTGTTATCCATATCTCTTCTTTGAAGTTGGCAACAGGTGGAAGACTGACATTCAGGGTTATTTCATCCTTATTCTTTAAGCCGAGATGTGGGTGCAATTTCATAATAAAGATGAGATAAAACAACACCGTTGCATCTGACCAACTAGAGACATTGTGAGAAGGATCCCTGGAGTCCATCCAGCCCACTGTGTCCCAGGGGGTGTCCTTTCATCCAAAGGTCTGTGTCTGAGTCTGTGCTGGCTTTGCCCAACCTCGCACTATACCAGGGTTTATTACCAGATTCCTGTTCCTAGTCCTTGAGACAAACTTCTTAAGGCCATGGTCTGTCCCTCTGCTAATTATGCTTTTAAGTTTAGGTGACCTGCCTTGTCAGACTTAGGCTGATGTGAAGGCCTCTGTCTCCCCTAGGCTGCCACGTAGTCCTAGAAACCTAGAGACTAACTCAGGCAATGCTGGGAAATTGGGACAGATGAGCCCAGTAGCCATGGTAGCTATGAGTCAGGGACAGCAAACACCCTGAGTGCAGGGAGGCGTGGTCCGGTCTCCTGTGTTCACCTCGGGCTCCTGATGTTTCCTGGGTGACCACGTCTCTCAATTTGTCAGTGCAAGAGGCCACCATCCTGATATGAGCACGCAGGAGAATGACATGCAGATGTTGCTTCTAGGGAAACAGATGTAAACCCAGTGAGAGGGAAAGGAACACCAAGTTTCTTTGAAATTGCTCATTCTTTTCTCAGTTTCTCGGGATGATTTCTTCAGAGCTGAGAGTCGTCTCTCATGGCCTCTGTCTTTAGTAACTGCTAGTGAGTAGGGGTGGGGTGGGGAGAAGAGCAGCATGGTGGGATATGGAAGAGGGGCTGGGAAAGGGGTCCCCAGAGTTTCTTCTCTCCGTCTCCCAAAGGTCCTGGGGTGGAGTGAAAGCCTTGATTAGATTCTCCGTGTGCATCACGCATTCACCAAGCATTTCTGAGCAGGGCCAGCAGCAGGCATGCTGTCACAGGAACCCCGATGTGAGAACCTCCACAGATAAGTGCTGCCTTGCTCTCTGCCCTCATCCTGGTCTGTGTCCCTGCTCTTTCCTGAGCCACACTGGGCACTGAAGCCCCATGCCTCAGGGTATGGGCAGCCAGCAGCAGACACCTCACCATTTGCATCCAGGCTTGTGCCCAGAGAGCCACAAACCCAGGACAAGGTCAATATAGAAAAGCATGTTGGCTTTACTTCCACCATCCCAGGAGGGTGGGGAGAATCCCAGCTCACAGCTTGACCCCCCGAAACACCGGTGGCTGGTAGAGACTGCTCCCTCTCCCATGCTTTGCTTGGAACAAGTCCAGTCTCTTGGTCATTCCAAGGCCCGTCACACATTCCAGAAAAATGGAACCTCACGGCTTGCTCACACTCACTTGGGCTTTGCAGCGTCTGTCCCTCATGTAGCCAGGTTCCCACATTAAGAATCTTTTTCTCAGGCTGGGCACATAATTCAGGTCGTAGCATGCTTACCTAGCATGGAAAGGCCCTGGGTTCCATCCTCAGAACCACAAACAGCATAACGGAGCATCCCTGTAATCCCAGCGCTCAGGAAGTAGAGACAGGAGGATCAGGAGTTTCTGAAGGTCAAACTTGGCTACATTTGAGACCAACCTGGGATATATGAGATGCTGCCTCAAAAAAATAAAGAAAAAGAAAAAGAAAAGAAAGTCTTTCTTTGGATCAGCATTGCCAAGCAATCACAGAAACAGTCTGAGAATGAAGAGCACAAGCAAGAGACAGAGTCCTGCCTAGTTCTATGTCAACTGGACACAAGCTACAGTCATCTGAAAGGAGAGAACCTCAATTAAGAAAATGCCTCTTGCCGGGCGGTGGTGGCGCACGCCTTTAATCCCAGCACTCGGGAGGCAGAGCCAGGCGGATCTCTGTGAGTTCGAGGCCAGCCTGGGCTACCAAGTGAGTTCCAGGAAAGGAGCAAAGCTACACAGAGAAACCCTGTCTCGAAAAACAAAAAAAACAAAAAAAACAAAAAAAAAAAAAAAAAAGAAAATGCCTCTTTAAAATCCAGCTGTACGGCATTTTCTTAATTAGTGATTGATGGGGGAGGGCCCAGCCCATTGTGGGAGGGGCCACACCCAGCAGGTGGTCCTGGATTCTATAAGAAAAGCTGAGTAAGCCTTGAGGAGCAAGTCAGTAAGCAGCACCCCTCCATGGCCTCTGCCTCAGCTCATGCCTCCAGGTTCCTGCCCTGCTTGAGTTCCTGTCCTGACTTCCTTGGTGGAAGTGTGAGCCAAACAAACCCTTTCCTCCCCAGGTTGCTTTTGGTCGTGGTGTTTCATCACAGCAATAGAAACCCCAACTAAGACGGTCACTCAAGTGTCCCAAGCCTCCACTGTAGCACGTGCAATAGGTTCCTCTTCAGTGGAGAGCAGCTGTTCTGTCCACGCTTGGTGTGTTCCCAGCTGGGGACTTTGGAGACAGCTCTCTGAAGATGAGCACCGGGTCCTGCTCTTAGTCCCGAGGAGACTAAGCACTGGATATCAGCTGTTTATCCACTTGCTTTCTCGGCGCGGGTGGAACCCAGGGCCTCCTAAACATCAGGCAAGAATCATGCCTCTGAGCCACACCCCGGACACGTTTACTCCCTATGATCAGAAACCACCCCAGATGGGTCTCCGGGCTAAGGAGGCTCACACCTGCCAGCTCACCACTGGGTTGCTCACCACTGGCGTCCCTGGGGATCCACTTCCAGATTCCCAGCGAGCATCTCAGTCAGGCCACCCCCAGGAGGGTAAGAAAACCTTGGATCTGACGCCAGCACCACTTCTTTCGGTCTCTACAGCCAATGCGAGGATGACTTGGTTTTACAGAGTGCGGCCATCCCTCTTGTGCCTTCCAGCCTGGAGATTAGAGTCACGTGGAAACGCCACGGCTTCACCTGCCAGAGAGTGAATTCCTACCGTCGAGTGGCCAAAGGTCTCTGACTCTTCACCTTTAACAAGTGAGTTTCCATGGTAACAAAAACCTGATGGACAATTCACAGTTAAAAACAAAACAACAAAAGAAAACAAGTCAGAGACCGGGCGTGCGCTCTCCTGAGCCATGGGCGCGCTGCCTCGCCGACTATGGGTTTGCACAAACTGGGCACAGGAAACAATGGCTGGATTCAGATGCCCGGGGAACCGCTGCCTGCTGCAAACCCTTGAAATTAAATTTTCAGTTTGTCGTTCTTCAGCCTTATGGCAGGTGACCTTCAAGGCAGGAACAGTTGGCTGACGGTAGGCGGAGTACGCAATTGTTGCCACCAAGCTCGGGAGGGGGGGCCCTGCAAACGCCGTTCCGAAATCCCAGGTCGGCTAGGAAAGCACGCGGAATCTGCGCCTCGCATTTGGGGTGGCTTTTGCTTGCCATGTTTAATTACACGCCGAGGTCCAAATGAAGGACGCAATTTATAGATTCCCCGCTCCTTCGGGAAGAGGGAGAACGCGATCTATTTGCAGCAGATAGATTATTTTTCAGGCACTTTAGGAGACACCCAACCCCCCCTCGGATACTGACTGTAAAATAAGAAAACTGTTACCCAGCTGGGCAACAATGGGCTCCCACCGTGCTTTTCTGCTCAGCCCGCAGCTGCGGCGAAAGTGGAAACTCAGCTGCAGGGAGACATTCTTTCCTGCCGCCGTTTCTATGGGCAGGCAGGCCCCCCACCGCTCCCGTGTATTTTCTATGCAAAAACTGCCGAAGAAGTGACATTTTAAAAGTTTTGACCTTTCTACCCCCCCCCTCCACCCCATGAACCAAAGCATACATTTTTTAAACCTTCTGATAGGGTGTCTGTAAGAAACGGTAATAGCCACTATTGTAATAATAAAATGTTTCGAAATTTGAAAATTCTATATTGACTATAATCAGATAACCTTTATCTGGAAATGGATAGCGATGCAGGGCCAAGGACCACTTCTGTGTTGTCCCAGGGAAGCAGATATGACAGGTTTCAGACATATTTGGGAAACAAGATCCCGGGATGTCAAGTTTTCATACGCTGATTTAAGACGTACGTGTTTGCCCCCCTTCCCCCAAAAAACAAAGACTTAGAGGAGAGTTTCACACCAGTGTTACACGAGGAGGTGTTCCCACCTGTACCAATGTCATTTGCTATAGAAAGAAGAAGAGGAGGAGGGGGAAGAAAACACTCCAAAAAAAAAAAAAAATGAGAATACTTAGTTTTATAATTCAGTTTGTGTACCAACCTTTTTTTTTTTTTTAAGGAAAAGTTCAACTCTTATTTAAATAAAAAGCTTCTTTTTAAAAAAGAACAAAATGACCAAGGGACAAAATAACAAGAAGAAATTTGTGTGTGTGTGTGTGTGTGTGTGTGTGTGTGTGTGTGTGTGTACCTTCCAATTAGTAAGGGACATGAATGTGGGTGGGTGTGGGGAGGGGTGGTCATGTATAATACAGAAATATGGGGAAGGAAAAGAAAAAATGAGACTTGAGACTTGGATTTACTCACAAGCAGCACAGGAGACAGAGAAGCAGGGCTCTGACCCCCAGACTGTCGTGCATGACCTGAAGCTTTTGAATTTCAAGCTGCAAGCGCGTGTGCGACAGACACACACACACACACACACACACACACACACACACACACACACACACACAGTTTCCAGCCAGGACTCAGCAGCAGGCTGGACCTATGACCAAGAATACCTGGTTTGTCAGAGAGGCATCTGCAGTACATTTACATTGTGATTTTCAGGACTGGGGAGGGGCCAAGGCTAAGTCCTTCCCCCCTTTTGTAAGAAGCTGGCCACACTGAGGTGACCAGCCCCTCCAAGAAGCGTCTTAGTGAGCCTCCCTTTTGTTCTGAGCTGAGTAATTTTTGTTCCCTCTTCCCTAGACCTTGTAAGTTCTCCTAGTCCAAGTCTCTTACAAGGAGAAGCTGGGTCTCAGGCTTAAAGACACAGGAGATGAGGAGGAAGGCAGGCCCAAAGGAGCATCAAAGGCCCCTAAAGGAAGCGGTGACTGTACCTCTGGATGGACACGTGTGAGCTGTTGCTGTGTCACCAAAGAGTTAACCCGTTGGGCAAGTCAATCACCTGGCCAAGGGACCACTCCCTGGGAAGGAGGATTCACCTTAAATCACGCTAAAGAGATGGGAGGAATAATTATCCCCTTCATGAGATCATGTACCTTTCTTTCCAGGATCCCTGCTCTCTGTGCAGTGATTTATGGAGTTGCAGCCATGCTGGTGTGGCTTAAACCTGATCACTTTTCCAAATTACTCAGAAAAGTATAATGTTTTGCTTTTTCTCCTTTTTATCTCTTTTTCATTATTTTGGATGTCTGCCAAAGCCTGGATATGCTTTTCCAAACACCGCGAGCTCTCTCTTTTTCTAAGAAGATAGCCCCTGTCTCCATCTTCTTTTACCACGTGGCTACTTCTGCTGTGGTTTTTCTCTCTTTTCTCCATTCTCGGAGCCTGTCTGCCCTTTGGTTTTTCTTTAAAACTCAAATAAACTTTCCCTCATGTCCACTTCTGAGTCCATTCTTAAATTCTTTTATTAATGATACCAAGAACTCCCAATTCCTCTGGTCCCATGTGGCACCCCAGATGAGACTCCCCTACATATTTATTGTCTTATATCCCACTTTGATTCACAAAAGCTTCCATGCTCTCTCTGTCCTGCCCTGGCCTGGCCTGGGCTGTGTATGTTCTGACCCCAGATACTCCACAGAGGAAGCAGCGGGATGGGCCTAGTTATTCACAACAAAACATAGAAAGCAACCAAGAGGCCCCCCAGCAGGAAGGGCCTCAACTGAGAAGGCACAGATACAAACCACAGGCAGACAACAGCTCTAGGTCAGAACAGAAAGCAACATGCTATGCTGATGATGCTTTGTGGACTGTTGCTTTATCGGGCTGCTAGGGCATAGGGGTGCAGGTGAATGTGGCTGGTAAACTCTCCATCAGTTCTGGGCTTCTGTATAAAAACCCCCAAGAGGCAGCCCTCAGTCCCACCCAGCACCAAGCATGCAGAGTAGCGCCTCTTCAGGAAGTATGTGATTTTTGACTCACACTAAATACTTGACTAAGGAATCATTTCAAAAATCGTGTCTGACTTGTAAACAACTGAAGTTTCGAGAGAAGCACATTTTGCCCTGGAATGGTGCAAGTAGCCTTTGACTGAATGATTGCTTTTCAAGATAGGCTCTAGGCTGGCTTCGTGAGGCCAACCAGTAAGTGGACCTGGCAGACCACTCAGTGTGGCATCAGTGTCAACAGAAGCCGGGATGTTTCTGCCTTCCAAAGATAGAGAAATGACCATTAGAAGGCCTGGCATGCAATCCTGAACATTCCCCACATTGGAAGAGTCATCGGGAACAGGATTTGGACACGCAGTGTGGGGCTCACCATACACTGTGGACTCTCTACAACCTCGGGGTGTTGAACCAGGGCCTTTAGCCTTTAAACCAAAGGAAAATAAACTCACCTCAGACAGCAGAGCTGGAAGCCCCTCTCGCTGCTGAAAACCTCCGCCTGGATTAAAGAAGACTTATGAGAAGAAAAAAAAAAAAAAAAGACAGAGCAACAATTGTGTATTTGAACTAGAGACAAATATTGCATTAAATTCCCCAGCTTTTCCTTTCCATGTTTTATTTTACCATGTTCCATTTTTATTATCTGAAAAATGGGGATAATAATGGTGTTTTCCTGCTGGAGAGAAGACAGCTCAAATAATGACTCACTTTGCACCTAGCTCAAAGTAATGAAAGATAGTTCTTACTGTGGGAAAAAAAAATGTTCACACAAGGGGAAAAGATGGGCTAAAATAGCTCCTTGGAGGAAGAGAGAGAAGTCCTGCAGAGACCCCATAAACACACCGTTCTTACAGAAGTCTCTGTCAGAGGAGCTGTTCACAGCCTTCCAGCCCTGCTACCCACCAGAGCCTCGTTTTCTAGAACAAACCTCCCAGCGAATGCTCTGAGCCTTTCCAGGGAAAGCAGCCCAGCAGACTTTGGGGGCACAGCACAGTCTCAAAAGTTGAGGGTCTTTATGCTCAAAATGAAACGTGATCACAATGGCTTGTCTTTGTCTGTCAGTGATTTCCGGTAACTTCCTCATGCTGGCTTGGTGTCACATTTGCATGACACAAAAGGCTAGGCATGCATATTAACGGAAGTGATTACAATAATTAGTCACATGTCCCCCAAGTGGGGGGGACTTTAATGCAAACTGTAGTTAACTGTGGGGCTTGTGGACGATCATTGTTCGCACAGAATGTGAAAAGCTGCAAATGTATAAATTGCCCTTTAATTAGATTTCACGTGTCACTAGTTCGTTTAGCTGAAAGGGCCTTGCAGCACTGTGAACATAGCTGTGAACGTGGGCTGGGAGATCTGCTGGATTTCCAGCTCGAGGTGCAGACCGCAGAGCCAAGTCGAAGGGTCAGAGCAAGATCTGCCCTTCTCTCTGTTTTGTCTCTCGGCCTGTTTCTCTTTCGGTCCTTTGTGAGATCAGGCTACCTGCAGAGGCCTGGCCAGTGTTCATCCTAGAGCTGGAGATGGCTCCAGAGAGCAAGCTTACATGGAGGGTTGAGGTGCCTACACTGACGTGGTGGAAGGCGTCCCATGCTTCTGTGTGCTCCACTCCGAGTGTACCCCAGGAGTCGCCTTGCTTTGTCCGACCACTGGGGAGGTGAACAGGTGGCATCTCAGCCAGGAAGGAAGGGACTCCAGTAACTCTGCTGGCTACTGAAGGTGCTAGGAGCTAAACGTGGATGGTGGGTAGGGATAGACCTGCTCCAGGGAACATCTGCTAACATTTTCTTCCAGGCTTTTCTACCTTGGGGGTCTTAGCTTATACTCCAGCCTCCTCCTGTGAGGTCTCCTTCCCAGTTTCTCAAAACGTTAAGTAGAAAAATTCTAGAAATAGAAATTCCCAATTTTCCATTGAGTGGTATGGTAAAGCTCACGGTTCTCCGCATCCCACCCTCTCTGTGAGCCATTGCTCAGTCCAGCATCTTCGTGCTGGGTATGCCGCCCACCTGCTGGTCACCCAGGTGGCCATCTTAGTTGTCTTAATTGACTAGGGTTTCTGCCAAGGTGACCCCCTATCTCACTGACACAGACGGGGTTGCTGTTAACATAGATGTGGCAAAGAGCAGCAGTAGGGTGCTTCCTACGAGAGAAAACAGGGAAGAGGGGTTGATGGAGAGAGACAACACGAGAGAGCTTTCTGTAGTATATGTTATTAACAATCGCCCTGGTTTATTTTTAGCCATTATTAATCTACCATTGTGCCCTATTTATAAGTTAAACTTCGGCATGGGGACACATAAATAAGAAAAGCTTAGTCTACCCAGGAGTTCACACTGTTGCCAGGTCTAGGCATCCATCCTCTGGGCTTTGGGATGCATCTCCCAATGACAGTTAGAGATTGGTTTACCTAAGCCTGGCCACGGGGTAGCCGCAGCTGGGTTCACCTGGGCACACCCTAAGGACCACACGAACTGTGGGATGTCTCCAGCCTACCTAAGGATTCAGTCCTCTGGAGCCTTGTGGATGCAGAAAGTGCTCAGAGGTGCTTCACACACCAGCAGCTCTCCACACAACGTGCAAACAAGGAGGGGGTCATGGAAAGTTCAGCGGGTGAGGAGGGGAACACCTCTCCCAGTTGCCAGGTGAAGTGGGAACTGTTTGTATAATTATTTGAAATGAGTTCTCCAAGATCTGACTGAAAAGGCCTCTATGTGCTCGGCACGTGGGGCTTCCTTTCTTCTGCACTAACAGGTAAATAAGAAGCCTGGAGGCTCACACTGGCATCTTTTTTAAATGGCTAGGGGTTTGGGATGTGGCAGAGTTTGACCTCTGTTGTGTGAGGAGGCAAAGGTCGTTGTGTGCACTTATCTATGCCATCCCTTACTATGCCTCGAAACTGTGGTCCGCCAGCCATTATTACCTCACTTCAGCCAGGGTAAACTGAGGCCCGCAGACTCCCTGGACCTTCTCAAGTTCTTGGCATCTATCAGGGCATCTTCCGGTCCTTGCACGCTCATCTGGAATTTAGTGGCTTGACCCCAAGCTCATTGGTATTGTCCTTTCTCTCGGTTCCTATCTCCCTCTAGAAGTTCATTTTAAAGTGGATGTTTGGGGCTGGAGAGGTGGCTCCATCGTCAAGCTGCTCAAGCAGGAGGATCTGAGTTCACACCCCCAGCCCCCCATGTGGTGGCATGAACGTGTTTCCTGAGAACTGGGGAGGTGGAGACAGGCAGACTCCTGGAGCTCGCTGGCTTCATCAGTGAGCTTCGGGTTCAGTGAGAGACGCTGGCTCAAAAAGTGAGGTGGAGAGTGACTGAGGAAGATACCCAGCTTCCCCTCTGTCCTTGACATGTATGTGCATGCATATGCACACATTAAAAAAAAAGTAGGTGGTCATTTGGATAATATTGACCCAAATTAACGTATGTGGCTTCCTGGAGCTGTAAAGACTTGAGTGCCCAGGCTCAGAAAGTTGTCCCAACAACAGCCTCCACTCTGGGGTCTCCTATGCTATCATCTGGCCTTACTAAGGGCATATAAACCCCACCCCCACAGGGGAATCCCTGAACTGTAGAAGGCCACCTCCAGAAGCTGTCTTGTGAGTCATGCCCTTTTGTTCCAGAACCTTCCTACAAGATTCCCAGAGCAAGGCTCAGGTTGGATAAAGCCCAGGGCTGAGGTATGGCTTGAGGAAGTGGAAACCCGAAAGGAGCTCCTGGGAGTACAAAGGGGCAGAAAAGAGGGAACAGACAGGGAGACACACCTCCATGGCCGCCACACACAGCATGACACCTGTCCAGAGTATGCAGGCTTGGGTCCTTGACCCCCACAGTGTCCGGGCAGCTGTGTTGTGTTGTTGTGAGTACGGCTGAGGGAACTATGGGAATCCCACCTGCATCTGGGGTTTCAGAGCGCTTGCCTGATGACTCACAGAGTGATTCCTCTGCAGCAGTCAAACACTGAAGAATGGAGACCCTGACATGACTCTAGCTGCCTAGGTGACCTCGGAGAAGAACAGAAAAAAAGTCCCCCAGGGATATTCCTTCTCGGTGGTAACACACCATAGTCCTTCAGCATGGCCAGGCCTTCACTTTTCTGAGTGTCCGTGGTGGTCATGGCAGATCAAAGACAGTTAGAAAATGGGCAGGCAGAGCAGGGGGGCAGGGCAGGGGTCCCCTCCCATGTTCTGTTGGCACAAAAGGTGGAAGAGGATCCTCTCTGAGACCTTCCCAGTCACCCAGCAGCAGCTGGAGCCAATTAGGAGTTGTAAAGACGCAGCAGGCGCTCCATCACCAGAAAAGAAAGTCCCTCAAATCGTGGAGCAGGCTCTGCCTTCAGGACAAGCTCCTGTGATACAAGTTTCCTTCTAGAAAGTTCCAATCAGGACAGCCAGGACGCTGTAAATGCTTACTTTGTCAGAGAGGAAGAAAATATTTCAGCAGATGGGGTGGTATGTGGAGCTAGAGGAGTTGGTGTGACCTACAGGGAAGTCAGGACCATGCCTCCAAGACAGGCAGGAGGTATATAGTCTCTCTAGGGTAAAACCCAAAGGGACCAGCTCTCCCATGCGCGCGCGCACACACACACACACACACACACACACACACACACACACACACATATCCTGCCCATATCCTTGGTAACATCAAGGGGTGGAGCCACAGATTTAATTGAGAACCTTTCAGGTTTGGTGTGCTCTCTCCTGATTGGTCCTACTTTCTCGCCTAATTAACATATATAAGAACCAGTCAAAACCCATTTCCTCTTTTAAAACCCACTTAGAAATCCCTAGAGGAAGCCTCTTCCTGAGAACGCTGAGAACGTTTTCCTCTGCTTGATAAATCCTTGCCCATCTCCCTCTTTGCTCTCTGTGCCCCTGGCTCTACGTCCTTAAGAGACAAGAATTCTACAGAACAGAGAGTCTGCAACACTCACCGGATGGAGGACCGAGGTGAGCGTGGGGTGGGGCTTTTAAAAGGTGGATGAGTAGAGCCCAGGATATGAAAGTGCCCAGCAGAGCAGCCAAGGGGTCTGGGTGGAGAAGTGGGGTGTATGGATCCCAGGTGGAAGGGGAGGCTGCTGGCAGCAACTTGAGTCTAGAAATGACTCTCCTACGGAAAGCAGATGGGAGCCATTGCAGACTACAGGGGGAGGTGAGCATGGTCTGGCCTAAGATTTTAGACAGTAAGACTGGTACTGACATAAAGAAATTATCACCGAGGCCAGAGACAGGGAGGCCCTGAACGACCAGAGACACTAAGTGAAAGTAGACCAGACTTAGTGAGCACTCAGATGGGCAGGTGACAAGGAAGGAGGGCTGCTGGTCCCAAGGTTGCCAGCTGGCCCCTTGGGAGAGGAGCCATCATGGCATCCATGGTGAGTAAGTGGATGCAGCCAGATCCACAGGAAACGGGAGAGAAAGCAGAGTACCTCTTCCTGTGGTTTGCTCAGTCAGTCTGCTTGGATCCATGACCTGGAGCTGTCCTCCTCCAAGCACAGTACCCCATAAGGCCTTAGGACCCGAGAAGAGGCCCAAGCGGGGTGCAGCCCAGGCTCTCTCTCTCTCTCTGAGGGGACCCGTCCCAGGCCTGTCCAGATGTGGAACCTCAACCTCTGCCTTTCTCCTCCCTTGCTTCTACTGTACGCCTTTCTCTGTCTCTCTTTGCTTTTCTCCCCCCTTTTCCCTGCCTCCCTCCTTCCGACTTTACCTCCATTTCTGTGCTCCAGCCTGCATCCGGACTCCACTCATTCTTAGGGACCCGGTTACGGTGGATGAAGCCCCCCACTCCAATGTGACCTCATTTCAGTGTGACCAGTTACATCTGCAGTGAGTGACCCCATCACCAAATAAGGTCACTCACTGGAGGAGCTGGGGGTTGTAGGACTTCAGCCCACTTTGGTGCGGGGCACGGTCCAATCTGCTTTTTAGAGGCTAATGTTTTGGGTTATTCAAAAGGAAGACAAAGCTCCCAGTTTCTCTCTGCCAGGACTACAGAGCAGATGCTCTCGCCCGAGCCCTCTCCGAGGCTCGCTCAGGCTGCAGAGCTCTTGTTTGGGCCCTTTGTGAGGACCATGAAAAACTGTTTACTTCCTCGGCTGCCTGGATCAGCCAGCGTTCTGGACTTTGGACATCTTGGGCTACAGTTGAGGTTTGGATCATTTCCCGGGCAGACAGACAATAAAAGGACCACACAGAGAGACAACCCTGGCTCCGCCAGCTCACATGGCCAGAAAGGCTGCCACCCCTGCCAGGCAACTCAAGGGCAAAGGGACCGGCGGACGTGCAGGGTGCATCTGTGACGTGACTCCCGAGAGAACCCACACACCGCCGGCTCCTTACGTAAGTGGCAAAGAACTGCCCGATCTCCTCCACCCCCCCGTCCTGCCCCGCTGGGGTTCGTCCAAGGTCAGTGTGGCTGAGGTTTTCCAGCCACCACTGTGCCCTTGTGAAGAAGGAAAGGGCTGGCTGAGGGGTGGGTGTTGGGGAGAACCAGCCGCCAAGACTTCACAGCACTTAGGGCAGAGGGGCGGGACCAACAGTCAAGGCTGCCAGGCAGTGCCCCTCTCCTGTCTCAAGGAATGTCCTCACAACAAGGACCACGGACAGGTGGCTCTAGAGCGCACCACCCCCTAAGTCCTGGATACACGAGATGAGAAGCAAGCAATTAACTGAGAAAAGAATACCCAAGGAGCTACCGGGAACTCGTTAAAACAAAAAACGCAAGCCAGATAATTGCTCAAAAATGCATCCACCGGCTCAGCACGAAGGGAACAGAACAGCTGGATCCGCGTTCTCCACCCAGCCTGCAAAGTGGAGATGTGGCAGAAAAGCGTGTCCTTTACAATGGAAATGAATCTCAGCCTTTGGGGGAGGCACTGCTGAGACTGCCAGCGTTTTACAGAGGGCCCAACCCTGCAGATGGGGGTCGAACAGGGAGGGCTCTTAATTAACCACTTCTCCATCACTCACGCTGAGAAGAAAGGGCTTCTCGCAAACATGGCCGCCAGGACAAGGACAGCATAATTTGCTAAAGAGCCACTTCCTCCTGTTAGTTCTCCCCAAAGCAGACTGGGTCTCTGATTATAGTCAGGACAAGACATGGACAAGACATGACCAGCAGCAGTACAGGCTCCACAGAGACGCAGGTCACCCACAGGGGCTGTTTCAGCTAGTTGGATGCGGGATGTGACCTCTCTCCGGATGCGGAAGACACAAGAAAATGATGATATGAGGGAAGGGGGGGAAATGGACAGACAGGACTCTAGGGAAAGAGTCCACAGCCTTGGCTCTTCCTTCCAAGGGTCACTGCGATTGACCCCAATATCCTAGAAACCACCCAAAGAGTCACCAATGCACCCTGGGTTTAATCAACAGCTAAAACCTATTCCTGTCTTTAAAAAAGTGGAAAAAAACAAAAACAAAAACAAAAAGAAAACCCCCAAACAATCAAAAACAGTCAGACAAATGTAAAACAAACAAACAAAAGAAGCGCATGAGCCAAAGCACGGGAGACTGGTGTTTTTTTTCTTTTTCTTTCTTTTTTTTTTCTTCTTCTGGTATTTGAAGACAGGGTTTCTCTGTGTAGCTTTGGAGCCTGTCCTGGAAGTCACTCTGTAGACCAGGCTGGTCTTGAACTCAGAGATCCTCCTGCCTCTGCCTCCTGAGTGCTGGGATTAAAAGTATGCACCACAACCAGCTATATTGGCTTTAAAAACTTAAATTCAGTGTTGAGGGCTGGCCTCACACACCAGAGGCCCTGGGTTTGATTCCAGCACTGCCTAAAATGAGGTGGTAAAAGCCGTGGGGGCCTGTGATGTAATCCCATCCACCCAGGGGTAGGGACCATCGCCACAGCCAGGTCTACCTAGGCTGTATTAGACCCAGTCTCAAAACTGTCATTTTGAGTCTTCACAGAATCAATATCCTGAATTTTACCTTCCCTTTAAAAAAAATTAATTTTTCACCAGGCAGTGGTGGCACACGCCTTTAACCCCAGCGCTTGAGAGGCAGAGGCAGGCCGATCTCCATGAGTTCGAGGCCAGCCTGGTCTACAAAGAGAGTTCCAGGACAACAAGAACAGTTACACAGAGAAACCCTGTCTCAAAATATGAAACCAAGAGACGGACCTTCCATCCTAGACCATGGCCAAGTTCATCTGTAACTTTGCAGAGAAAGCCCCAGGGCTAGTAACCACTGCCGTGACTTACTTGAAGCCTCGATTGGCCACATTTTGGCGGTATGCCAAGGTTGAGCTGGTTCCCCCAACCCCTGCTGAGCTCCCTGCAGCTATTCAGAGTGCGGGAAAAATAATCCAAAGTGCTAAAACTGGTAGCTTCAAACAGTTTACAGTTAAGGAAGCTATGCTGAATGGTTTGGTGGCCACTGAAGTGTGGATGTGGTTTTATGTCAGAGAGATCATAGGCAAACGCGGCATCATTGGCTATGATGTTTGAAGACTGATCTTTAACATCTGATTTTATTTGAGTTCCTATTTGAATGTTCTTGGACCACATGTAATGAGACTGCTGTCTGAATAAAATATTAGCTGTCGATAAAAAAAAATTGAAACCAAACAAAACAAACTTTAAATTTTCTTTTCTAATCACTTCCCTACATGTGTCTCTGTGTGAGTGTGTGCACATGTGAGCACAGGTCCCCATGGACTCCAGAAGAGGACGTCATATCCCTTGGAGCTGAAGTTATAGACAGTTAAGAGCTGCCCAATGTGTGTGATGGTAACTGAACTTGAGTCCTCTGCAAGAGGGTGATGTTGCTATTGCTGTGACAAAACACCATAACCAAGAATAATTTGAGGAGGAAAGGGTTTATTTCAACTTACAGTTACCAGATTCCAGTCCATCACTGAGAGAAGACAGGGTTGGAATTCAAACAGGACCAAAGCCTGGAGGCAGGACCTGATGCAGAAGCCATGGAGGGGTGCTGCTTAAGGCTTATTCCTCTTTGCTTTTTCAGCCTGTTTTCTTTTTTTTAAGGTTTTATTTATTTTTAAGTATGTAAATTGAGAGGGCTAGGAAAATATCACGACAGCCTGCCCTAATAACTCCATTGAGAACTAGGCCTCAGTCCCTGCTTTTTGGAACCGAACAAAGTTTCTAAAGAAGAACCACAAACAAAGGGCAATCAATCACTGGTGCCCCTGACACAAGGACAAGGGAAATAGGACATAATAAGCCTGGGCCACTGAGCCAGCCACCATAATTAACAGTTCAGGGTAATAACCAAATAAGGACAAAGTCTAGGATTTGTCCAGGCCTGCTCAAAAATGGAAAACTATAGCCCTGACCAACCCCCAACTAACCCTAGCCAATTAGAAGTTACTAACAGGATTGCCACTTGCATAAACCAGTCATATCTACGATGAGCTAACTTCCTTGGACACTCCCCTTAGGCTTAAAAGGAGCCCTCAGTTTCCTCTCGTGTCTTTGCCACCTTGCCTTTGTGTGTGATGGCAGGCCCCAGCATGCCAGAAAACAAATGCTCTTACTAATTGCATACGTGGATGGTGGTCTTTTGTGGGACTTCTCCAGGTCCCTAACATGAATGTTCTGCCTGCACATGTGTATACCATATTCAATCCTGGCACCTGAAGAGGTAAGAAGAGGGCACCCCTGAAACCAGAGTTACAGATGGTTGTGAGCCACCATGCTGGTGCTGGGAGTTGAACCTGGGTCCTCTGCAAGAGCAACAAGTACTCTTAACTGCTGAGCCATCTCTCCAGTCCCATTATCCTGCTGCCTTATAGCACTCAAAACCATCAGCCCAGGGGTGACACTGCCCACAGAGAGCTGAGCCCTCCCATACCAATCATCAATCAAGAAAACGTCCCACACACTTGCCCAAAGGCCAATCTGGTGGAAGCATTTTCGCAGTTTTTCAAGGGGAAATTTTTTTTTCTCTCTTCCCAAACAACTCTAGCTTGTGCCACGCTAACATCCAACTAGCCAGCACAAGGACTGCTGAGTCACCTCTCCAGCTCCACTTCCCATTTTCTTACTAGATTGTTTTACTGTTTTTCACTCAAGTCCCAACTCTCAGGGCTAGTGGATGTGACCTTGTGTGGAGAACAAGGCAGATGTTACGGGTTGGCTCTGAAGGCACATGCGTATTGAGGGCTTAGTTCAGAGCTGATAGCCTTCAGGAAGTGATTTTGGCTCAAAAGCCCCTGACCTCATCAGCAGCTCAGTTCATCGACAGGTTCATGATGTGATGAGCTATTAAAAAGGGCAGAGACCAGGACATGGCACTGGGCTGGAAGGAGTTGGCTGCTGGTGACATGCTCTGGGCAGGCCTCTCCTGTCCCTCATCCCTTCACACACCGCCAACTTTCTGTGCCATAGGCTAAGCAGATTTTCTCTGTCACACCTTTCTGTTGTGACCGGCTGCCTTCCCATAGGCCTCCAACCATAGAGCCAAGAGGTTTTTGAACCCAAACCTCTGAAATCATAAGACAATAATGTCTTCCATGAATTGAGTTGATGTGGCAGGGTTAGCAGTCAACTTGACAGACTCTAGAGTCACACAGGAGATGGACCTTGAGCGTGCCTGTGGGAAATAACCTTGACTGTGGTTTAACTTAGGCGGGATGACTGTCCACTGTGGGCGGTGTTGTTCCTTGGCTGGGATCCCGGCCTGTGTAAGTAGAGAGAGGGAGATGACCAGCAGCGTGCCTTCATGTTACCAACTGTTACCGACTGCAGATGTCATGTGACTAACTACTTCAAGCTCCAGCTGCCTTGACTTCCCACCATGACGGACTGCACCTTGAATTGTGAGCAGAAGCAAATCCTGTCGTCTCTATGTTGCTTTTGTTAGGGCATTCTATTCTTGCAGAATATTCCTTCACACTGGGTGAAGATGTGTCACTGTGATTGATTTAATAAAGAGCTGAGTGGTCAATAGCTAGGCAGGAAGAAGTTGGGGGGGACCTCTGGGGACAGAGGTCTCAGGGAAGAAGAAAGGTGGAGTTGCCAGCCAGACATGAGAAAACAGGATGGACAGTACAGAGTAAAGGTAACTGAGCCACATTAAAGAATGTAGATTTAAAAATACGGGTTAATTTAAGTTATAAGAACTAGTTAGGAACAAGCCTAAGTTAAAGCTGAGCTTCCATAATTAATAAAAAGCCTCCACGTCATTATTCGGGAGATATTGGTCCAAGGAAAGTCACTTACATTCTACACAGCGACAGGAACAGAAACTGAAACAGGTGGTTTGCCCAGATGTTGTCACAGATATAATTAATATGAGGTCACACTGGACTGGTCACCCCCATATATCTTAGAGACTTATCACCCTGTATATCCCCAGGGACTAATAACCTCCATATGAGACAAGTCACCCTTAAGTATGCCCAGGGAACAGTCATCCCTGAGTACCTGGGGACCAGAAATCAGTCATCCCTGTGTCCCAGGAACCAGTCTCCCCTTGCGCACACAGGGACTGGCCCTTCCCGTGCATCCTGAGGGTCGGGCTCGGGTGGATGCAGCTGTGGGTTCCCTCATCTCTGTTTTGACAGCTCAGGGCCAGAGCAGCCTCCTCTGCCCATGCTGCATGTTGTACAATCATCCTGTTCTGTGAACCATGGTGTGTCGGAAGTGGGACACACTGTCAGAAGCCGCTGCTCCGACTCCATCTGTGAGCATCTTTTACTGCATGAACTGTCTTCCTAAGGTTTGTTCTTGCAGCACATTCGGGTTATTACATACACACGTTCACTTTTTCTACATGCTCTGCAGGACGTTGACTGTCTTCTAGAATGTAATGAATAGTGGGAATGAATCCATGGGAATGAGGGAATGAGTAAGCATACATAATAATATAAACAGGTGAGCAGCAAATGAGTGAGTGGATTAATATGCATGAGCGAGTGGATAGGAATGAGCGAATAAACAAGACTATGAATGAATGAGTGAATGAATGAATGAGTGAATAAATGAGGATGAATTAGTGAATGCAAGCAGTGATGAGTGAATACAAATGAGTGAGTGAGTAAATGAATGGAGAGTGCATGAATGAGTAAATGGACACAAATAAATGAATGAATAAGTGAGTGAATAAATGAATGGATACAAATGTGTGAGTGAGTGAGTGAATATGGTTGACAGAAGGCAGAAGTCCTGCCCTCACAAAATCCAGGACCCTGGGGCCTCTCACGGAGTTCTCACAAGCATAGGTTTCTGTTCTGGGGGAGGCCTGGGAGTTGGATGAAGTTGCCATGCCCCACAGTGCAGTGGCAAGCATACATGGTCAGCTTGCTCCTTATGTTTCATTCTGAGAGTACTTGCTAGGGCCCTCTATGTCCAAAGCATGGTGCTGGGCTAGACCATGAAATGGTGAATAAAAATGGACCCTTATAGCTGTGAACATGCCAGGTTCCCTGTAGAGGGAAGGGTTCCACACCTAGCTGTGAGCATGCCAGGGCCCCCATAGAGGGGGGTCCACACCTAGCTGTGAGCATGCCAGGGTCCCCATAGAGGGGGGTCCACACCTATCTGTGACCCGTGAGCATGCCAGGGTCTCTGTAGAGGGGGCTCCATACCTATCTATGAGCATGCCAGAGTCTCTGTAGAGAGGGCTCCACACCTATCTGTGAGCATGCCAGGGTCTCTGTAGAGGGGGCTCCACACCTATCTGTGAGCATGCCAGGGTCTCCGTAGAGGGGGCTCCACATCTATCTGTGAGCATGCCAGGGTCTCTGTAGAGGGGGCTCCACATCTATCTGTGAGCATGCCAGGGTCTCCGTAGAGAGGGCTCCACACCTATCTGTGAGCATGCCAGGGTCTCCGTAGAGGGGGCTCCACACCTATCTGTGAGCATGCCAGGGTCTCCGTAGAGGGGGCTCCACACCTATCTGTGAGCATGCCAGGGTCTCCGTAGAGGGGGCTCCACACAGCTGTGAACAAGTCAGGTTCTTGGTAGAGGGAACAACTCTCTTCAGAATTTTCAGAAGGAACGAGAATTGATAGATGAGTACATCAGCTCTTCCTGAGTCCTGCTCATTTTATCAGATTATAAATCACTTTTTGGGCCAACAGCCAAGGATAAGCAGCCCTGAGAGTGCAGCTGACTCCATGGGAGGAGGCTGCTCCCTGAGACGCTTGTGCATCCATGTGCTGGGCTGCTGTTTCCGCACATGGATTTAAGAATTCAAAGCATGAACTTTGGTGGCATGAAGGTAGCTGGTGGGGAAGGAATGGCTAGTTCATGGATGACTGGGTGGGGGTGTGAATGGGGCATGCTGTAAATGAGGATGTGCTGTGAACGGGGATCTGACCGTGAATGGAGACATGGTGTGAAAAGGGTGGGGTGTGAATGGGCTGAAGTGTGAGCAGGGGTAGGGTGTGAATGGCAGTGCAGTGTGAATGGTTATGAGATGTAAGCAGGGGTGTGTAGTTGGAGGGTTTTCTCTGGGTCCTGCCAGGCCCTTGCGGTCCCATGGCCCGCTTATAAAATAATCACTCAGAAGCTTATATTAACTATACTGCTTGGCCATTAGCTCAGACTTATTACTGACTAGCTCTTACACTTAAATTAAC